CTAATTTACAATCAAAGGTAGAGGAGCCTCTAGATCTGGGATAAGGGTTCCATAGATAGAGTCCCATGGATAACATTCCCCAATACACATACACACACCATTAAGAGTTTTTCTACTTTTTTTTTTAAATAGGTAACACTGAATTATATTCAACCCTCTACTGTAAGCGTCAGAACCTTTGTTCCACTGCCAACTCAGCATCTCCATTTGGCTGTATCAGAAATAACAGACATCACAAGTTTATCAGGCCTCTTTAGTCACTCGTCTAACCCTGCCTCCCTAACCTATTCATTCTGGAGTCATCTCCCTTGCAGAAAATTGTACCCAAACCTTAGTTGTTAACCAAAATCTTAGAGTTCTCCTCAATCCCTTTCGTATTCTCAATCACAACATCCAAACTCTCGGGAAATCTTAACCACCACATTTCTAAAATACACCCCTTATCTCTCCAATTCCCTCCGTCTCCATTGCCCTGCCGTCACTTAGTGCCTGTTCTAGGCTGGGCACCATCCCTGCTTACACTCTATACCCTAGAGTCCATTCTCTACATGACAACCAAAGCAGTGTCTTAAAACTTTGTCAGTCAGATCACATCAGTTGCCTGCTGAAAACTGTCAATGTTTTTGCACTGCTTAGAATAAAGTCTACACCATTACCACAGCTTTCAAGGCAGTGCGTCCAGGCTTCCAGTCCGTCTACCCAGCCAGTCTCCTTTAGCCTCTGCGTTAGCTGTTGGTGCTGCTTGAGACCTTCCCGTGGCTGGCTCCTTCTTAGCTCAAACGGCAACTCTTCAAGGGGCTTTCTCTGCCTATCCTGTTTATCACCTGTCTAGTTCATCAACCTTTTCATGTATTTATTTACTTATAGCATGATGCACACTCTAAATATTTCTATTTGTTTATTATCTCATTCTTCCCAGCTTCAGCACTGTTCATTCCCCCTTGCAGAAAGGCAGTGTATCAGAAAGTTGGTATTTCTTATTTACCCTTGCACCTCCTAGACCAGTACCTGACATAAGACCAGCATTTAATACATGCTTACAGAACTATTGAATGAAATAATAAATGAGTAAATGAAAACAGTGTTGGTTTTTGGTCTGTTTCTTTGACTGTTTGCCTCGGGCGTTCCTTTCTGTGTGGGAGTGACATGCCGAAGAATACAAGACAGAGCTTTCATAGCCCCTGAGAGTGGTTAGAAGTGTCCATCCACACCCAAAGCAGCTGCCAAGTGGCTTCTAGCTCGCAGCAGGCGGTGGTTAGCTCTAGTCATCAGGACAGTTGCTTGGGTGTGAGCGTGAGTTCCTGTCCCACAAGCCTGTCTCCACCTGTTCTTTCACCGCTGCTCCCCGTCTGTGCAGTGGTAGTGCACACACCTTTGCTAAGTGGTTCTCTCCTGGGTGTGACTCTTCAGGAGCGTGAGAGGCGTTTCACCCCCGGGCACAGTGCACGTGAAAGGTGGAAAGTTATGGACACAGACTCTTGTTTAAACCAGTTTGAAATGGAATCATGTGATAATCAAACCGTTACAGGTATGCTTCCCAGGTGGGTTGCCTTACTTTTTACTAGCTTCTTCGGATATTCTAGGAAATTTTCTCTGGGTTCCAAATGCTACCTTTCAAGTTGCTAGAGTTATCTGAATATGGACATGGAGATTCCCAGGGTTCTATATAGCCCTTCTTTCTGCCTTCTTTATGTCTGTTTTTCCAAACCCAAGGAGATTTCCTTTGACCAGGATCCCTGTTCTCGAGCTTTATCATAATTACTTCTCTCTGCCTACTCAGCAGTCTCTATTGTTTGTGGTCACTACAGCCCTGCAACCTGGATCCAACTTTGCATTTTCTGCAAAAACTTGCCATAAATAGCAAGACTTCCATCCTCTAGTTTGTACATAAGGCATTTGCATTCTTTCACTCACATCATTTCGTAGGCCACAATTTCTTATAACATGAAAGCAGGAGTTATGGTATGTAACCATAATTTATGTTTATTAAACTCTTCCCTTGCCCCATGTCCTTTGGTTATATGTTGCCTGTATGATCTTATTAATTATCCCCCAGTCCTATGAGACAGATGAGACAGGTATTACCAAGTACCGGTCACACAGCTGCAGAGTTGAAGAGTCAGTATCTGAACAGACATTCCAACTAGAGAGCCCACACTCTTAGCCAATTTGCTAATTTATCTTTGTATAACAGTCCAGTATCCATGAGGTAGTTAGCTGGGGTCACCATGATAGATGGTGCTCATCTAAGCATCTCACAGTAAACTCCCAACATAAACTACTGTAGTCTTTGTTCATCGTGAACGTCACCCTCTTTTCTCTTTGAGTTTGACCTTCTCCTATAAATGCACATGCTGGTCCCTACCAATAGCTTACAAATAGGTAGAATCTCCCCACAAAATTGTAGACTGACATAAAGATCACACCTTTGCATTTATTTCTCTGACTCGCTAGCCTTTCAAGTTCAGCCCATGTATTCACTCAGCAAATATTGAATGAGGAACAAGTCTTAGAATAGAATAGACAGATCATGTTCTCTAGGGCTCCAGATGTCTTTTGATGGGGGAGACAATCTTGCAAAAAAAAAAAAAAAAGGATACTTGGTTTATTCCTTCCTCAAGAACAGGACTTACTCTATTTTATTAAGAGGATTTATGCCTGACTTCTACCTGTCTCTGCTGTTCTTTCCTTGCCACAGCCATTCTTTTCCTATCTTCAATCTCATGTTCTTCCCATCTAAATCATGCTACATGAGCTGAGTTAGCACTTAACCAACTGCTCCCATTTCCACTTCCTGGGAAGCTATAGGACCAGTTAGCACTTACCAGCTGCCCCCATTTCTGCCTCCTGGACGCTATAGGACCAACAGGTGCACACATTGGGAATGTTATCTGAGTTCCTTGCATCTGGGTGGCAGGAGCACAGTCCACCCCGACCACCTAGACTGTTGAGATGCCAGGGTGCATTTCCTCAGCCCAGGGAGAGAGTGTGACCAAAATACAAACTCTATGATTGTATAAGCACCGTCTCTCATTTTCAGCATTTCACAGGTTAAATCCCAAAAAAAGCCTTTCCAGTCTGCTGATTATGGACACGAGCATCGCAGAGTTTACAGGATTATGTGCAAAGTTCACACAGAAAGTCTGGGTGCACCCAAATCTTAAGGACAGATGTGTGTCATTAAAACTGGTGGGTGATGCAAGATTAAGCAGTGTGGCTGCTGTCTGAGCGCCCAGTCTTTCTTCTCTGTGTCATTGCTGTTCTCAGTGCTGGAGCTCAGGAGCTCACGAGGAAATGTTCTGCCCTACTCCTGCCTTTACTAATCTCTGCTTTCTAAAAGGCCTAATGTATGTTTTCATGGTAACCTACATGACTAGTGATAAGCATTCTCTATTCCTGGAGTATGCTGCTAATTAAAAAATTCAGACCTAATATATATATATGTATGTATATATATATATAGATAGATATATATATGTATGTATGTATGTATATATATATGTATATATACCCACACACATACATGTTGGCTAACCATTTTACAAGGGGAGAAGAGGCAGTCTTTATTTGCCTTCAGTCCCTCACAACCGAGAGCAGGTAGCATGCCTTTGTATCCCTCAGCAACTAAAGTAGTGAATGATGAGAGCTCAATACTTATTTTTTGAATTAAATTTTATTTTTGTAACTGTGCAGAACCCAGGTGAACAAAAGGATTTAAGAAAGCACACAATAGAGCAGATGCACATGGCAACCATTAATTTAGGATACACAGTAAGAGCCAGTCAGGGAGACTTCCGCCAGGTGGAACAGAAACCCGCTCACTAGAGACCCAAGTGAAGCCTGAGCACTCAGGCTTGGTACTGGAATATGTTAAAATTACTCTGAAGCTCAAGGAAAATGTGGTTAGCTTCTAGGACCATTGTATCACTAAGTGCCCTCCCAACACCATCACGGTGCTATCACATGTTGTGATCCTAACGTCTTGGATGGATTTTATAAAAATCAGTTGTCATCCTTTTTAGGACCTCCACGCGTTTTCCCAGCCCTCGCTCTGTGACAGTAAGGTGCATCCGTTATAAGCACAGGGTAGAATGGGAGCTGTTTCGCAGGTTGTGCAGTGAGAAGCCCAGAATTTCCCACTGTGGGAGAGAGTGGCAGGGAGTGGAGGGGAAGAGTGTTTGGAGATGGGTCATCAGAGCGGAAAGCTGACTGCACATGTTTACGGAGGCCCAGGAGAGCTCTGCCATAGGACTGTACAGGTAGCTTGGCTAGGTGAAGACTGGCTTAGCTACTCCAGGGTGGGGTTTAGCAACTTCGGCGGAGGCATCCAGTGGAGGGAAGGTGTCAGTGTCAATATGCTGCTTTCCCCAGTACTCGCTCTCTCGCTCCCCGCCATGCCTGGGAAACCACAGAGCAGGGCGCAGCATTCTCTCCGCTGGCTCTGGCGTCCGCGCAGTGCCAAGGCCCACAGGGTTAAGGGAGCAAGTTGAGACGGGGTGAGGTGCCTGGCCGCCTCTCCGCATGGCTTCGAAGCCCGGGGGGCCCTGCGGGGCGGTGTCGCGCCGGCCCCGGCGTGGCGGGGGTTAAGCGGGAGCTGGGGGCGCGGTGCTCGCTCGCGGAGGTTCCGGGACAAAGTCTGCGCGGGGCGGGCGCTCTGGGGTCCGCTTGAGGAGAAAGTGGTGGTCAGTGATGGAGCTGCTGCTATGACAACTCTGGAAGTCGGTTCCAGTGAGACGCGGGGACGCTCCTGGGAGGAAGGCTGCGCTGAGCCCGGGGGCCGCCGCTGAACTCGGGCGTCCCCGGCACGGCGCGGTGTCGGAGCCGGAGCGCGGGGCCGCGGTCCTGCGCGCCGCCCCTGCCTGCGCCCGCAACCCCTCTCCGCCGTGGGCGCCGACAGCGCGGGCGCGGGGCCGGCCGGAGCCGAGCCAGACCCAGCCTGCTTGCAGAAGCCACCAGACCAGGAGGATCGCGGGCGCGGTCTGGCGCCATGGCCCGTGCTGTGGAACTTTTTACCGCCTCTGGGTGACAGATTGGAGATTCGGGTCTGGCTCATAAAGATATCTATACATATGTGTGCTCTAATAAAACATGTTCTCCTCTCCTCGAAGCAGCCGCTTTTTATGACAGCTCCTTTATGTCAGAGACACTTGCCTTGCTTCTTTGGGTTATAAACTTTTGATGCCAAACCTCTGCAGAGCGTGCCCAGCTGAATCGGAAAGTAGCATCTTGAAGAGATAGGCAGAAAAGAGCACTCTGTGACCTTCATCACTGCACCTTCTTCCTCTCCCATCCCGCAGCCTCCTTCCTCCCCCGGGGAGCTTCCAGAAAGATCTTTGTGGATGCAGGAGGGGCATCTGGTTCTGCTAGGCTGGAAAGCTGAGGCAGGATTTGAGGAAGAAATATTAGGCTCCGGAGAGCTTGGACTCTTTCTTCTTCTTCCCCCTCTCTGCTTCTGGCTTGCTCCATCCCTTCCTTTCTCCCCACACCACTTCCTGTGACCAGCTGGTGTGGGGGGACAAGGACTGTGCTGCTGCTGAGTTCTGGGAAGTTGTGTCTATCCAGGATGGGGGTCTGTGGGTACCTGTTCCTGCCCTGGAAGTGCCTCGTGGTCCTGTCTCTCAGGCTGCTGTTCCTTGTACCCACAGGAGTGCCGGTGCGAAGCGGAGACGCCACCTTCCCCAAAGCTATGGACAACGTGACAGTCCGTCAAGGGGAGAGCGCCACCCTCAGGTAGGGAGCTGTACTTCAGTGGGGGACTGAGCCCCCGGGGCATGATCACATGGGTAGGGGTGAGCCAGGCGATCAGAAAGCTTGTGTGTGGACTTGGAGGATGTGAGAGGCCCCTTCACAGGCCCCAACAGTGCTCGCTTGTGTACTGTGTGGCAGGCAATGCCCATTCTCCTGGACAGGCATGTCTCTTACTTGCGTTTGTTTTTTTGGTCCAGGGTCTTACAGGTGAACCCTGAGATCCAGGCCTGGGACTTCAGGCATCTACGAGGCCATGGCATGGCGAGCCACTTTTTGCCTTGGCTCCAAGATGAGAACACGAGGGCACTGAGACGGAATACTGGGTGGCAAACTTAGTATTGTTTGATGCCTTGGTGACTTTCATAGGTCAGCTGCGTGGGAGCAGGTAGCCATGACTGGCAGGCTCCCCGCTGTGGGAGAGGTAACTACAATTCCAGCCCCAGAATTACCAGCCCGGGCCCCTGGCTCTTTATGAGGCTGCTCAAGAAGCAGCAATTCATGTCAACTGTGTGGTACTCCTGGGACCCCTATTATAAATTATGAGGGCAGTTTTATCTTTGCAGGCTGGAGCCAAAGAGAGGAAACATGTAGCTTTTATGCAACGACATCACTCTGTGTGAAAGCACAATAGGAAAGCTTTTTGTTTCACATTAATGAGTTACACGGCCTCACTGACATGCTCCAGACTCAGGGGTGGGGATTCTTGGAATATAAACCTTTGGGGACTGAGGAATTGCAGCAGAGACTTTAATAAAAATGCAGCCACCACTTTCCACCAGCTCAGCAGTTATCATCTTTTATCCCTTTAATGAGGCAGCTCTGGTCCTAGGAGACAGATTCAGGGACGTCCTAGCTTAACTATGTCTCACAATATGCATAGGGTGAACGCGTTTGCCCTGTCTATGACTTTGATGGCTATGGTGAAAATAAAGCATTCTGCCCCAGATTCCGCAGCCCAAATGCCTGGCTTGTCCTAGGGAGAGATGAGCGTGGGGTTTCCTTCTTGTTCTTCGTTCGTCTCCCTGATCGGAACCCTCCCTGCATCTAGATGAACCTCTCCCTGGGGACAGAAAGAAGGCTTCTGGGTTAGCAGCTATTTTTTTCTAACCCCAAGTGTTAAGGTTGGATTCTTGCCACTTTGTGTGGCTTTTAGATGAATCTTCTTTTAAGTTAGAAACCAGGTCCCAGAGCCTTGTCTGCTGGTGCTCTGGTATCCAAGGAGGAGAGAGAAAAAGCAGGGTCGAGATGTCCCTCCTAGACGTTATGAGGAAGAAGTCTCCTGACCATATGGGGACCCTTCAAACTGTCCCAGACTGGATGTGATATTCCTTCTTCATTGCCCCAAAGAAGTTTTGTCAGCCCAATGGAGGGACTTGCAGGACGTGCATTTCCAGTGGCCTAGCAAGCTCAAAGATGAGAGTAGCTCACTGGCTACAAAGCTCTTTAACAAAGAACGTCATGGCAAATGTTCATGGATGTCAAGAGATGATGATACTGCCACCAATCTCTCCCTTTGTTATGGTCTTCTCCTGGGGGCAAAGAGCCCAGGACTGAATATGGCTTCAGTGCTAAACTTTCCAAAATCCTCTCTTCTCTTCCTGTCCCTCAAAGTTAAACTGGTAACTGAAAAACTTGAGCTTTCTGCTTTCCTGCAGTAAGATGACTCCACCAGCAGAGGTCCAGCTTTGATCTACCTTTTTTTATTAGCCACTGGCCTATTTTTGTGATCTTCAATTCAATTTTTAACAGCTGGGCTTGGTAATGGGCATGGGAATAAAAAAAAGGAAAAACTGAATAGTTACTTTAAAAAATAATAAATAACTCACATGTTCAAATATAAATGTTATCTTATACCTAATTGCATATTTTAGTTTTTTAAAGTAAGCATAAATCTGGTGATTTTACCTCTCCTTCGGTGTATTTCCCCCTGGATAGAGAAATCCAACACATTGTCCACATTTTTGATCTCTGTATATCATCTTTCTTTTACTGTTCATGGTCTTCTCTTTTATTATTTCATTTTTTAAATCAGTTTATCATTCTTTTCTTCCTTTCTTCCCTTTATTACTTAATTTTTATTATACCCTGCTTTTTTAAGGTTATGATTTTACTACTATCACAGTACATATATGTTAAACAATATACGTTGAAAACAACATATATACCTCCTGCAAAATTTCTATGGGTTCCAAACTTTATCCTTTTTTTTTAAACTCTTCTTTGCTTTGTTGGCTAACAGTTGGACATCATCTACCAGAAAACTCATTTGTGGGTACTCTGAGGGAGAGTGTGTGTTTCTAGGCTCTGAGACTCCATGGTCACAACTCCAGACAAAAGAACCATGCTCTATTTTGTGTTGTTTTTTGCTTTAAAAAAAAAAAAAACTATAATTCTTAAGTATGGTCACTATTTGGTCTCCTTTAAAATGTTCGGTTGGGGATTCATTGTTTGAGGATTCAGTGTTCAGAATGCATCAAAACAATTGAATCGTACCCACACCCATCAGCCACAGAAAACCTTTTCAAGGGTCTATCCTGGATCAAATTATCCAATGCTTGTTTCTAAATCTTGAATGAAGTAGGAAAAGCAAAGAAAGGGAGAAACCTGGGTCCTCCTTTGAATTTTCCAATGAACGATTGCATGACTTAGAGAAGAATGTTTTCCTTACTTGGGGATATCAGTTTTGTTATGATTGGTCTTTGATTGAATTGAGGGACATTAGGGAGTGATGTACCAATGAAGGCACTGAAGTTCTGAATGTGGATGAAACTCATTTTATGTAAGTGAGGCAATATTATCTTCCTCATAACTACTTCACAGGGCTACTTGGAAAGTAAAAATAATTATTTGAATATTGAGTGATTTTGCCTTCTTGAAAGAAAGATGATATGGAAAAATAAGGTGATATTCACTATTGTTGAATTATAGATTCTATGAATCTGATTTGAATTCATTATTACAAATGGGCCCTCTTGGCCAGATCATTTCATTACAATTGTCTGCTGTTGGGTAAAAAATGTTCTGTGCCCCTGAAGTAATTTTTAAAACTTAAACCGAAAATGTTGCCTGAAGTCATCTTAAAGCCGAGCAGTAGTTTAGCTTAACTAGTAAAGAAAAAGGGTCTGCCTTGAGCAGTGTGCTCTTTTAAGAACTACCTATATGGGGTCAAACTGACAAAGGCAGCTCGGAAGATTAAGTAGGAAATTTAGGGGCAATGAGTTTATGTTAATGGGGGGGACAACTCAGAAAAGGAGGGTGAGAGTGGTTATACAACTCAAAGAATGCAATCAATATCACTAAACTGTACATGTAGAAACTGTTGAATTGGTGTATGTTTTGTAGAATATATTCTCAACAACAACAAAATAAACAAAATTTAGAAAGAAGTCCTGTGCCTTTTAGTTAGATTAGCTATGACAAGTATCTAGAAGTACTGTGTCCGAGTCAGCGACCGTGTTAGGAGAGGAGCCCCGTGTCCTCAGTTTGGCCCACTGGTGCCTGTCGAGCTGTCTCGGCCGTGCAGATGACCATCTGAGGTGCTTTCTTCACGGGCCTCAACCTTTTCTAAATTTCCTTTTGTACAGAACCACGTTGTGTGCATAACTGTTTTGAGGAGTGGGGAAGATGAGGTGGGGTTGATCCTGTAACTTAATGAGAAGAGGTCCCACCCACAAACTGGTTCTTCTTTATTAGCATGTTTGTTGATCCAGGATTATGCTTAATGACATTTCTAAAACATCCCCACATTTTCATTTAGAGTTATGTGCTGATCCATCCAGAACCAAGTATTTGAGGGTTAACTAGCTGCCAACAAGTGATCTTAGCAACAGGATTTTGCCAAAGCAACTGTGGCAAGTAGAGTTTCCAAGGACACCATCCCTTGTGTGCCTGGTGTTTTTTTGTATTTTGTACTTACCATCAGCAACTTTTCCTTTAGTATAAATTAAGAAATTCAGAGTAGCCATTAGGTTATTCAAAACAACTACAAGACTCTTACACCAGTGTGTAAATTGCCTGAATAAAGATGCATGTTAAGTGCAAAGGCTTTGCTCTTGGTCTGGGAAGATAAAGACATCAAAGGACACTCAAGCAGGCACCGGCCCCCAGGGGCACTGAAAGCAGTGGGGCTCACCTGTCTGCACCTCGAAATTACCTCCATTTTTAAACAATCCCGTGCCCAGACCAATAAAGCAATCTCTCTGGGGTTGAGAATGAGCTTTTGGGAAGCTCCTCCAGTCTTTCTTCTAATGTAGAACCAAAGTTGAGAATCACTGCTCTAAAGTCCTGCCCTGCCCGAGGGCATCTGAGGAGGGCTGGATGGATTGTTTTCCAGACATTTGCTTATGTCCCTGGTGAAGTTCCAGAAGGTCCTCTGAAGAGGAGCCTCATTTCTGGTGGTTTGTGGGTCATTTATTTGCATCATAGGGCCCTGCTGACCCAAGTTGCAAGAAGGAAATATATAAGGCTTGTCCTCAAGGTTCCTGACTCCCATTTAAGAATCTCCTGCAAGCTTGCAAATGCCCACAATCCAGGGACTTCACTGATGCTGCAGAAAAAGCCTGGGCCCGATGGCCAGAATACCTGGGTTTGAGCCTTCATTCCCCCTCTCACTATCTGACCTTGAGCACATTGCTTAAACCTTTTGAACTTCAGATCCATTGCATATGCATGGGAACAATATCTACTCATCTATGATGTCAGATGAGATGGATTATGTGGCATTATTCTGTTACCTGTGAAACAACATAAACATGCAAGTCCTTAGTGGTGTTAAATGAATCTCCTCAGATAGCATACATACAATACTCTAAATCTTTTACGGTTCATATCTGCTCTACTCCTTCCTCCTCATCCCACACACACTTAAACATCTTTAGAATGTACCGGTCTCCTCCCAGTTCCATTCAGCATCCTACTTTCTGCTGGTGGCCAAGACTTACCCTGATTCAAGTTCCACTGATACTTGACACAGATACACACCG